AAAAAGTACTGAATTGTACAACATTCTCCTGCTAACATTTTCCACAGCAAAAGTAGGTGAACCCAAATGAATTTCAGGGCTCATTTACACTTCTGTGTGGTGGCAATATGCACTAAAATGCACGTGATAATGCACATAACCAATGCATGGCAATGCACCTGCTTTATGTGTGGTACTGTGCAATGTCATTAATTGTGAAAGGCACCCCAACCCATTGAACAGTGGAGCACAAAACACCATAGCACACATACCATACACTGTCATGCGTGTTGTAAAAAAGGGTCATGAACATTTTTTTATATCTGTTGTGGTGCATTGGTAGCCCATTCATAATGAAAAGGTTGCCTTAACACACTACTACTACGTTAATGTGTGCCATACTGCGCATGCATTAATGCACTGCAACAAAATGCTTAAGTGAGGATGGGCCCTCAAACATTTCATAAATATCTGCACTGCTGATTTATATAATTCCACATTCGTCATTCATGTGATGCAGATTCACAGAGAATTTGCCTGTTGCTGTCATTCGTCATTTGCATCTGTCGCATTCGTCAATGTTGCTGCCGAATGCGGCAGATGCAAATCATGCTTAATTAAACTCAGACTGTCCCAGTTGAGATAACATTTCCCATTTATTTAGCTGCAGCTGTTTCAGAGATTCAATACGACATGTTCTAGGGCGAACACCCCTACCATAACGTTTTGAAGTCCATCAGTTACAAGCAAGCGTAATGGCAACAGCATTTTAATAAGTACCAAACGTCCTAAAGTCAACCTGCCCCAGAAGAGTTAATAATTGCCATTTCATTAGCTGCAGCTTGAGGGCTCCCCCTTCACATCTCACATGCACGCACAGCCCCTGCAAAGCACAAATGCATGCCTGAGTGTAAGACATATTTTCCAGATGGTCTGGCAATTGAAAAGCAGGAAATTTCATCGTGCACTGCTATCTAAATGATCTAAACACAGGCAGCTCATAATGACTCTGGCGGAGGTGAGGAATACCAATGCACTTGACTGAAAGCCTTTGATAAGATAAGGATCCCAGAGGATGGACTGAGCCTACACACACACACACACACATACTTGAGCAAAGAAATGGTGAGGAGAACATTTGACTGTTTTTATGCCTCGCAATAGCAAAGTTGTGGTTTTCATTAAAGCTCCCAAAATTCTTTGTGGAATTCATCAAAGTTTTATGCTTGTCACTAAACAGTCATTAAAATGATTCCAACATGTACAGCTCCAGGGTATGAAGTGAAACTTTTCCACGGAAGTGTAAGTCAGAACAACTTTTGTGATATAGGAAAAAAATAATAATTTGATTCACTTATAGCGAATATATCTCAGCAGCAGATGGCTTGTGAATATATTTGCTTCAGTACATGTCAGAATACAAAAGGATTATAGTTTTAGATAATGAGTTAAACCTAACAATAAACCCGCAAAGAGGCTATGAATAAATTATAATAAAGTTAATTGATATTATGGTATAACATTATGCTATATTTAACATTCTTTTTTCCCCCTACTGACCATAGCGATTAATAAGCCTACTCAGATTTTAAATCTATGTGGCAGTGCAGGATAAAAGTACAACAAACATAAAATAATCTGAAATGAGCCAATTCGTGCCTATGGGTAGAGACAGATCCCAGCTAAATGGTTTTGGCAGTAACTAGCAATCAGCCACGTTAGATTTTTGTTTTTTCCTTATGACCACAGGGATTAACACGCCTACCCAGATGATTGTTGTGTGCATGCTAATGGAACAATTGATCATTCCAATGACTGTTTAGTGGGGTGAGACGTCCAACCGCCATCTGATGCCCATGGCTAGCTTAATGCAGCTGCAATTTCTTCATTGCAATTTGAAAACGAAGTAAAAGGCTATTTACTAACAAGAGGAGAGAAGGAGAGAGGAGAGAGGAATAATATACAATAAGTTATGACTTTTTAGTCTAGCAACAGTCATTTAACACATGCAACACGTGTTAAATGACAAACTTTAACACATGCAACACAATGCAGACTTTTGTGGGTCTACTGGTTAAGGCTACCCCCAAACCAGATGTTTGAAGACTACCTTAAAGCACAGTTACAACTTAGAAACTCACTACAAACTGTAGGTCTCCAAACCACAACAGTATTGGCCCAAACGTATTGAGCCCTGGAAGTTTTTTTTTTTTTCTCAAAGGGGCCCATAAGTGATTAATTCTGTACAAACTATCAGACCCTTTGGAGACCCCTTTCCCTTCCTGCACACATATCCCCTCTTCAGTGAATGTCATGCTGGCACAGTTGTTTTCTCTTTCTTAGCTGGTAACAAGAGCAAACGGGGGAAAAAACTTCCAGACCACTAAACCAAAGTTCCAGTGTATGAAAGTCCATTGCTGTAATTCTGTTCACTCAATCTTTGCTCATATTGCATAGAAAATTTATGGTACGCATGCGTATGTTTCAAATGTTCAAAGATCTGCACTGCTGATTTTGATTTCTGTTTGGCCTTTAGGTGATCCACAGGGTTGTACTTTTGCCCCATGAAATTGAATATGTTACTAAATAAACAAGAGGAGCTATATTCAGCAAGTACTCAGCCACATCACTAAGCATCCAGAACTCCTTCCCAAACTGTTCATATACCCTTTTTCGATGATATACTTTAACAAAGAGATTTGCAGTTGCATTATACATGCCTGAGTTCAGGTGAATTAACACTTTTGCCATTTCTTTATCTGAGATATATGTAACGGAAAGCATGACTTGCTCAATGTAGCCTTGCCCCCAAAAGCATTTTAATTCTAGACCCAAGTGACAATTTCTAAACCTTTCACTCAACACTGAGTAGATGTGGCAAGAAAGCCGAGCTATGGTATGCAAACTTCATGCCAACTATTAAAAGGAAGTGTAAAATAAAACAATATTGTGTTACCATTAACCATTACTGCAATAAAAAGAATTTGTACTCCTGTCACTGGCTGGAGCTTTACAACCTCAATATCATAAACAGGAAAGTACAAAGTAGCATTATTTATATATGCATAAGAATAAACTGCGAAGCTACGACTTTCACATGCTAATATACTACAATGTATGAACGTAATATAGAATAGAAAATTACTTTCCACCCTCTGTGCTGAATTTCCCAAAATGCCCTCATAATCTCAGATAGTATACACACTTTGGATTTTGTTGCCAATAGGGCTTCACTGTAAACATGACAGATATTTTTCACTAATTGTTTATATTTGGCAGGAAAAAGCAGCAAGAACGCTATGTTATGCGCTGTATCCTATAGAAACCTAAGATTCCTTTTATCAATTTGGAGCAATCTGAAAAATCTAATTTGACTACCTAGTTGTTCTTATGATTCAATGTACTTGATCTCCGTCATATTAAATTAGCCAATGTACGGCTTAAAAATGGACAGCGTGAAAGATAAAGTTGTTTTATTATGTTCTCTAACGTAACTTTTAATAATGCGACAACAGAAAAACAGATGGATAACATGTATGTTCTCTTGTCTCTGGAAAAAAAAGCTGCTTTAGAAACTGAGCAAAAATAACAAACAAAACAAAAAACCTGGCAATCAATACAATTGATTGAACTCATTTAGGCAAAAAGGAGACTATAAAATCCATATTTTAAAAACCCTCACGCTTGATCTTTTAAAAGGATTACACATCTCCTAGCATGCCACATGATAAAGAACAGAATGTTTTAAGTTACTTTGAACATCAGCAAAACATGTTGAAAAACAAACAAAAGAAAACATATAATTTACAGCATGACAAATCGCACAAGCATCCACACTTAGCCAGGGGCTACTATTGGCTGACTTATTAAGGCTGACTGGTGCAGAGGGAGACCTGCAGCAGAATGGAACCTCCATTGAAAGCATAGCTGTCAGTCAAAGTCCTGTTCCCAAATGTACAACTTCATTAACTGTGCTTCTAATAGCAATTGCAGCTTCCCATGAGGTACAGCGGGAGTCAAATGGTTCAATGTAGCAGAAGTTTTTCCACTAACCCTGCAAACTTTAATATAACACATACAGGAGAAAAGGGAAAAAAGCGCTCCTTCAAAAAAAATGTCAGGCTGCTCCATGAAGTCACTATCTGGGGATATTTATAGTTCTTAAATGCTTTGAAGTACATGATTAATTCAATGCTCTTGTGCGGTCATAGCCAACGAGATCACAGCATGTGATATAACCAGCATCAGACTGATCTGTGCGGTTACAACGTGAGATGTCAGTCTCCACTCTCATTAAAAAGCTGCTAGAAAAAATATTACATTTTCCAAATGTTTAGGAGTAGAGGCTTATCCACCGAGGACATCACATAAATGGGGGACAAGATGAAATTGTGTATGGGTATATATGTGCTTGTGTACTGGGATACAGTCAAGTGATTGCTAAAATGAAGAGTTTAGTGACAAAGTTGAGTCCTGTTAATCATACAAGAGAACTGGACCAAAAACACACAATAGATTACATTTTTTTGAAACCAGCAAATAAAAATAGTGGGGGGCAATTCTTCTACTAAAAAAAAAATGTTTTACTAAAATTGTAACCGCATATATTTGTATGCTTTGTGACTATGACACAAAAAAATATAGCACACACTTTGTTGAAAAGATGCTGAAAAGTGGTTAAACTGCCTGGTTTTCGGGCTGCCTAACTTTTATAAATGTTTTTTCAAATGCAATGTGGGTTTAGCTGTTATTGGCAGTTAGCTTGCTGCATATACAAAATCAATTGTGAAAGTTGACAACTTATGGATATGCACAGTTATTAAAAAAAAAGAGGGGGGTAGGGGGCAGCTGTACTTACAGTCTTTCTGTGCTGGATATACAAAATAAATTGTGAAAGTTGACAACTTATGGATATGCACAGTTATACAATAAAAAAAGAGAGGGGGAGCAGCTGAACTTACAGTCTTATGGATATGCACAGTTATACAATAAAAAAAGAGAGGGGGAGCAGCTGTACTTACAGTCTTTCTGTGCTCCTGGGGATGTTTTTTGGTACCATTTTAAGCCCCAATCCATGGCAATCCACTGTGGTTCCACTACAGGTACACAACGCCGGGCATCCGTTGGCAAACACTTGGCAGAGGCTGCTCCATGCCAGGATCCATACTCCGACTCTGAGCCACAATGGGAAGGTAGGATATCCTCTCATAGCCATGCTGGCAGAGGTTTACGTTTTCCCAGTCTAAAGAGTGTAAGTGAGCCCTTTAAATCATCAGAGACCTGGAGATGGTCCAGGTAGGTTCCAGAATCCTTGGCCAATCCCAACGTAAAAGAATATTTAAAAAAAAATTTGTTTAAAAAAGCTAACAATAACAAAAAAATGCAGTAATCTCAGTTACTCACTACTTGTATTACAAAGACACAGAAATCCTTTTTGCTCTCGGCTGCCGTGGAAAAGGCTGCTCTCACAGCACCTTTGAATTCATTGAAGCTGGTTCCTTTTGCACTAAGTCTGCCCTTGTCTTCCTCTGTCTGGAGTTCTCCCCTGCACAGCGTTATCTGGCTGCTCTCTGTGTCTAAGGCTTGGTACCAGCATAAATAAGAGCCAGAGAAAGCGCACACACACACAGGCACATAACAGCAGTCATCCATCAATTGAGAGACACACAAATATCACGCCTGACTCCTCCCTGCTCCCTCCTCCGTCTAGTGTGCTGGGCTTTACCCCCTACAGAACAGCAAGGGGAGAGGTGGGAGCTCATTGACAAACTAAGCAACTACAATAGCTTGCAGGCAGCACACACATTACACTGCTTTTAACACTCAGCACCTTGTTAAAATAAGAAAGACAAATGGCAAGCGGTCGTGCCCCAATACCTCACAGCTTTTAAAAAAGAGCCAGCAGAGGGGGTGTCAAGAAATACACACTGTAATGTAAGACACCTTTTTTTTTTATAAGTAGAAAGTTTTGCTGGAAGGTTCACAGCTTTGCATGTATCTAGTGTGAACAGCAACCAGCAGACAACCCCTTGCTGTACTTTTGACAGAAGAAAAGCTTGATACTTGTTTTCATCTTCAAAGTGTAAAATAACAGAAAGTGTCAGTGGAAGAAGGCGGCTGAAATAAATAGGATACAAGGTAAGGTGTGGCTAAAGCTAGCCATAGACGGCTAAAATTGCGTCGGATTTATGCTGCATTGGTTGAAATTTGGACCGGGGATGATCGAAAAAAAGTTGATTAAAAAATCTTTTTTTTTGGTAGGACGCAGTCACTGTTCGGCTGATCCTTTTGAAATCCGACCAGGGGCATCCCTGGTCTCCCGCCATGACGTCATCGCGCATGCGCATAACGTCACCACACGTGTGTGAGATGACCTTATTGACGCCTGCCAGCGGCCAACTTGGTAAGTCAGTCATTTGAGTATCACCCCTCCAATGGTGGCACCCGGGTGCGGGCCGCACCCCCCTTGTGACGCCACTGCATCCGGCTCAGTTGATTTTTAGGTCAGGTTCACACCATTTTCCGGAACAGATCTGGAACGCATTGTGTTTTGCATCGTTTTTACTGCAATTTTGACATGTTTCGGAGCGCTTTTCTTGTTTCTTTCTTAGCTTAAAATGAGGTTTCAGGTGCAGTCCAGTGTGTTTGCGTGCGTTTGTATGCATTCCCATGTGTTCTAGTGCATTCCAGACCAGAGAAAATGAGACAAGCAGTATTTTTTTTTTGGTCTGGTCCGGAACAGACTGCGCTGATTTGAACAAAGCCCAGAAATACCACACTCTGCTTACAAAAATGCGTGACTTAATATGCGTGTGGAAATGCACATAATAGAAGTCACCAGCACTCGATGATGTGTGCAAGAAGTAAAGCACTTTTTAATAAATTGTCACATGCGTCATACAGCCAACGTTTCGGGGCCACGCAGGGTCCCTTCCTCTGGGCGACATAGTTAGGTCACTATGTCGCCCAGAAGAAGGGACCCTGTGTGGCCCCTGAAACGTTGGCTGTATGACGCATGTGACAATTTAGTAAAAAGTGCTTTACTTCTTGCACACATCATCGAGTGCTGATGACTTCTATTATGGACTGTATCTGACACGGTGCCATCCGCGTTTTCACTTCAAGCACCAACCTTCCATCCAAGGTCTGTACGCTGTATGGAGTGCAGGTGATTTCGTATTGTGGAAATGCACATAAAACGCATGCAAAAACACGCAAAATCCACACAGAAACGCTATTGTCAAGGTGTGAATTAAGCTTTATAGAGCTGGCATTTGACACCTGCTGTGTCACATGTCAGCTCTAAGTATTGGGAAGAGTACATTTTACACTCTCAACAGTTCCTAATCAAGCCTGGTGGAAAATGATCAGCTGAACAGTAACTGTGTCCTATCAGTTTTAGAGGCTGAACAAGAGAAAACAAGCCGGAACTCTTGCTCCTGGACTTGATCACCTCTATAGGGATACTATCTGCAGGGATTCTACATATTGATCAAAACCGGAGCAGACAAAATCTGGAGCAGTTGCCCAGGGCAACCAATCAGCTTCTCTCTTCAGTTTGTTCAGTTAAGATTTGAAAATGAAAGAGAGAAGCTGATTGGTTGCCATGCACAGCTGCTCCAGATTCTGTCTGCTCCAGTTTTTCATAAATTCCCCTCCCTGTGTGTATGTGTGTTTCCTCCGGGTCCTCTGATTTCCTCCCACAAGTCAAAAATATACTGGCAGGTTATATGGCCTCTGGTATAAATCAGCCCTAGAGTGTCTGACTGTTACAGGTTTGTCACCTTGGTAATGGGGTGCGCTGTGTGGCCCCAAGACATTAGGGTTATGCCATTCGATGATATCCTATTTTAACTTGTTGGTCATACATTGCTGTCCCGACTCTTTTCTGCATTTGGATCTACAGTACATCCACCACCATTTTCCTGTTACTAAGCCCTGTGGGATATAGTGCAAAATGGACCATCCTTCCTTTTAAGAACATTCAGGAGCAAATACGAGATGAGGCAGCCATCTTGGACGCGCTCAGTAGTAAGTTGGAACCATTCTCTTCAAAGATCCCAACACCACCTTGATCACCGCTTTGAGTGCCCATGGAGAAAAGTGCTATAGAAATATTATTATTATGGGCTTTAATACTTTGCCTGTAACAGGGACATTAGACGGTAAGCTCTTCTAAGGCGGAGAATGATGATTCTATGCACTCTCTAAAGCTCTATGTAATTAGGATGGCTGCACACGTATCCAGTAAGGCAGTTGTCTCATTCGGAGTGCCTGACATTCCATTGTGAGCTATTCCTCTCGACATAATGTGCCTTTCTTACTCTCAAATTATTCACAATTTCCTACTGAAGCTCGTGGAGGAGAATCAATTAGTAAAAGTTTGAAATCCACCTTCTGTTCAAGAATTCTGCCAGGTATATAAATGATTCTTAAAACCCTCCCCTCCCTGGTCAGTAAAGAGAGTAATATAGGTTATTAAGCGCTCTGCTGAGATTGAATTACAAGGTACACTTACACAGTAGATAGTCCAAACATTGCCTGATATTTGCAAATAATGCCATTAGCATGATACATCGGGGAGATAATCAGAATAAACATTACCAACACTTTTAACAAACTTGATATTCTTGTTGTTCAAACATGATCTGATATGTGCAATGATGAACCAGAGGTGATTGTAGAATGGTACTAGGGTGCACCGATACCATTTTTTTGGTATTGAGTAAGGACATGCTTTATTCACTGTCTGCACTGCACTAGATTGTATGTGCCAGCAAAGAACCATTTTTATTACCAACCAATATATTTACAAGTACTTATAGTGACCACAATGAAATAAAGACCTCTACTTAGCCATCGCAAGTAAGGCGCCACATTTCTCGAGTTTTAGCTACCCAGATAGCAAGCAATTGAGCTGCAAGTTTGAAAATGACTTGCTAAACTATTGCAGACTTGCCAAGCTTCACAATTTTGTTGCACAATTACAGCAAGTCAGCATTGCGAGTCTCCAGATCAACATGCTTTGCAAACGTGCTGTACACTTGCAGAGCTCTTGCTAAGGCCTGCAGGACTCTTGCTGTAGATTTGCCAAGCAAATTTGCTACAAATTCAAAAAGTTTCAACTAAAACTTGTGCTGCGAGTGTTCTGCAAGTCTACAATTTGCCAGGAATGTGTGCAGCAAGTTAGAAAGAATTACAATTTAAACCTGACACAAGTTTGTGGCAAGTTATCCTTGCTATGTGGGTTTTTGATTGAAATCAGAAGACCATACAGAGTTCAGAGTATGGAAGGTCTGACATAAAAATTATACCTGGAATGGAACTCTTCTCTAAAAATATACACAGTCCACACTGAAAATGCATCCTTGATATTAGACCATGGAACAAAACCTACCTACACTGGTATTAATATATCATTCAGTCATAGGTGTACATAGTGCAAAAGACCACCCACTTCATTTTGTCAGCAATCTAGTAATCTGTGCACCATATTTGTTTGAAATGCTGAGAAGTATTCCCAAACACACCCAATCTATGTATGCTCCATGCTGTCTTTCACATACAGAAAGCCTGATGTAAAAATGTTTTAGTACTAAGAAGCTTTTAACAGTCACTAATAGGTAAATGTGACTGGGGATAAAAAAAAAACACAAATGATCTTTTTCCCAGATATCATTATCAGTTCGCTGAGGTATTTCAGCTGCTGACTAGAATGACTTTTGAATCCAGCCATAGCGCAACAAGCTTTAAACATGAAATCTGCAACTTTATGCACTGACTAGCCAATATAAGGCTCATCAGCTGGCGCAGGCTGATTTGATGTTTTCAGAAGACCTTAACCTGTCTAGGGTCACGAGTAGTGATGGGCTCGGGCGTGTTCGCAGCTCCATGTGCCGAGCCCGCCAAGAAGCTGACAGCGCCGCAGCGCCAATCACAGGCACGGAGACATTTCCCAATCTCTGCAAATGCGGACCGGGATAATGTCTCAGTACCTGTGATTGGCGCTGCGGCGCTGTCAGCTTCCTGGCGGGCTCGGCACGTGGAGCTGCGAACACGCCCGAGCCCATCACTAGTCACAAGTCAATATTCATCGGTGTTGAATGATGAAAAGGTACTAAAATAATTAGCAAATACATCCTTCCCTTCTGTGTATTCTTCTGTTGTTCCTGCAGGAACAATAGGCTCAGTCCAACTTTAGCTCTGTTCAGTTCTATGTCTTAAAGTATATACAACCAACAGCAATTGGTATTTATGAAGCATTCAGATCTTGGCCAGCTCCTCTTTTCAAACCAATTGTGACTTTAATAACATGCAAACATTAATTTGTAAATACATTTGATCAAGGACCTCTATATAAAAACCCAAATGCCAAAGCTGTAGACAACTATAGCTTAGCATCAGACCTTACATTTTTCCACTGCTCATTCGAGTCCTTACTGCACTTGTATGTGATTTGAAGTGCATATTGATGGCCTTTGCAACTGCAGCAGTAGATGGGAGCAAAAAAACAAAAAATACTGCTTACAGGCACCAGGCAAAGGACAGAATGGCACCACCGAGTGGACAGAATTAGGCATGAGCACAGCTGGCCCAGTGCAT